GGTTAGTGCCGTACTAGTTACTAGTACAACACACCGGTTAGTGCCGTGCTAGTTACTAGTACAACACACCGGTTAGTGCTGTACTAGTTACTAGTACAACACACCGGTTAGTGCTGTACTAGTTACTAGTACAGCACACCGGTTAGTGCTGTACTAGTTACTAGTACAACACACCGGTTAGTGCTGTGCTAGTTACTAGTATAGCACACCGGTAAGTGCTGTACTAGTGACGAATTGGCACGTTCTGTTTACGTGACGAACCTCACTAGTTGGCTTGTCGGGTGGTGACGGGTTTAACGACACATTTATATATATTTACGCGATCTACCCCCAAAAACCTGTGTGTATGTACCCCTGTGTGTATGTATCTGTATGTATGTACCCCTGTGTGTACGTATCTATCTGTATGTACCCGTGTGTGTATGTATCTTAATGTACCCCGGTGTATGTATCTATCTGTATGTATCTGTATGTATGTATGTGTAGTGATGTTACAATGGATTGCTACGGCGCGTAGCACCAAGTGCCGTTGAAACAGGCACAGAGGCTGACACACCGTGCAGTACCACTCAGTGGGCCACTGGGGGCCTGATGAGTCCTACCGACAGAGGAGGGGATTGCCGCCCCCACCACCGCCGCAGGGAGTCACCACAGAGCGGACCACTGGGAGAATGTGGTGGGGGGCGGCTGGTGGTAGGGACAATGTGAGGATGAGTCACCCCGGGACCGGGTTAAGCACGTGATGGGCCGGGGTGAGTAATGTGGGCCAAAGGTGAACGAGGGGGCACGGGGGGGAGTAGCTGAGAACGTCTGGAGCGTTCCCGAAAGAGGCGCGGTTAAGGGCGGAGCCAGAGAGGGAACAGGTGCGGTGTAGCCTGGAACCGTCGGGAATATTCTGGACGTAGGGCGCGGCCGAGGGTGGAGCCAGGCCGCGCCGAGAGAGATAAAAGGGAAGCCCCGATCACAGATCCGGGCTGTCTGCAGGTGAAGTGGAACCCAAGTGCTACATCGACGTCTCCGACATCATGGGTCAGGCAGCCCGTTGGCTGCTCTGATCCGATTCTAGTTGTCCCGTATGCAAGAGAAATCGGGGTGTTGTGGTCCTATGCGTGACAAGAGTGAGAATAGGTGTATTTAGTCCCGTGTGTAACGGTGTGAAGAATAAACGTTGTTGCCTCCGAAATAGTGTCTCTGAATGACTCACTACATTTGGTGTCAGAAGTGTTAACAATTAACTTTACAATAACTAGTTAGGAAAGAATAGTAAAATATGTCAAGGTCGAGATTGTCACTCACCGTGGTGTCGACGTGCGATGACGAGGCCTTAGCGGATTTTTACGCAATTCCCCCATTGGAGAGGACAACGTTGACGATGGCGTGTGCACAGATGGCATCTTTTCTTGACCCGCCGTCCCACGTGTGACAGAAGTTTGCTGCACGGAGACGGGAGGAGGCCAAGACGCCCCTCGCGTTCTGTAGCGCACCAACGTCGCCGGGCCAAGCGGCGTACCCTCAAATGGACCAGGCAGGGTTGGACTCTCTGATTCTGGAGCAACTGTTGGCATTGGCACCAGACATGGGCGTTTTTTTGCCCGCCACAGGGTAGCGCACTGTATCCAGGCTTACTGTAATTTGCGGCGGCGAGTCGGATTGGCCACGTGCGCTGGACCGCCGGGAGACATCGAAAAACTAGAGGAAAAGGAGCCCCTCCAGTTTGCGCATCGCTTGTGGGGAGTCAGCGGGCGAGGACCTACGTGGGATGGCGGCAGGTGCAGAGACTGCAGGGGAAGGTGGTCTCTTCCTCGTGGAAGATGCCCACCACCTGCTTCAAGTGTGGCCTGCCCGGCCACATCTCCAAGGGATGCCGTGCCGAGCCAGGACAGCTCGTCATGCCTCCATCGTTCTCCACCCCGCCGACCTCCGCTCCTTCAAGCCCAAAGGCGAGTCGAAGTGCATCACACACCTGGCCTACACAGTCACCTCAGGCATCTCCATCACAGACCATGTCGGGTTCGTGCATCGCTGGTTTTTATCGTGTCGCGGCGCGTGAGATGCGTAATTTTGAGGGTCTTGGATGGCCGCGGCATCCGGGTCAGTGGATGGCGTTGGCACGTAGGGTCGTAGCGGCGGCAGCGGGATCGTCAGCCATTGTAGGGACGGTGCAGGGTGTAGAGGTCCGGGTGTTGATAGATACTGGTGCATCCACCGCCCTAATTCTGGAACAAATTTACAGGCCATTGCCGCAAACACGTTCCTTCGGAGTGGGCAGGTAGGAACTTGATTGGACAGCGCATTCGTGCGACCCGTGTCACGCGGCGCAAGCTGCGTGGGGCGGCATGTCACGTGGTGCTGAGCCCGCCCGAAGCGCTCTATGAAATACAAATCGAGGGCGTGGCTATGCACGACAGACAGACAAATAATCCCTGGTGGGCAGTGTGGAACTGTTGTTCCTACCTGTAAAATCGATTTGTTTGGAACCTGTAGGAAGTACTTGTGTCGCCGTTAATGGCGGGAGTTTGGGCATTGTGGGTCAGATAATTGCAGCGGTTCGGATCGGAGATATTGAGATGACAGGACCAGTGCTGGTCTCAAAGTCACTGGCTGTACCTGGTCTATTGGGGACCGACTTTTTGAAGAAGATGCCCCGTAGAATACTGGTGGGCCAGGGTTGTGTTGAACTGCCGTCGGGGAGTCGGTTGGCGTTCTTGTCGGCCCCGACTCGATTGAGTGCGGCGCATGAGAAATTATGGCGGGGGGGATTTTCCTGACTCCCTCGAACAGGGCAGATAAGGGTCTCATGCTGGTGGGAGCCCAGGCGATTGTGAGGGGGGGGATCAGGAACTTTCCCTCCAGGTTTTGAATGCTGGATTGCATACCCCGGTTGTGCAGGCGGGTACAGTTTTGGCTCACGCGACGGCTGCGTGTCGTGAAGAGACCAGCGAAGTAGCCGCTCATGTTGAGGTTTCAGTGGAGCGCGGAGCGACAGTGGACGAGTCGTGGATGGATGTGTTGTGCGCCGAGAACCGGGATTTGATGAGTGAGCAGATGGGCTAGTTATGAGCCTTGATCCGGGAGTCCCCTGACGTTTTAGGCAAAGGTAGATTTGATATGTGAAGCACGTCTTTGATGCAGCATCATATTGATAATACCGCTCCCATCCGACAAAATTCGTTTGGGTTTAGCCCAAAACAAAAGGACTTCGTGCGGCAGGCGGTCGACGAGATGTCGGCCGCCGACATTATTTCTCCGTCCACCAGTCCGTGGGGGGCGCCCATCGTCCTGGTTAAGACGATGGGCCGGGGTGAGCAACGTGGGCCACAGGTGAACGAGGAGGCACGGGGGGAGTAGCTGAGAATGTCTGGAGAGTTCCTGAAAGAGCCAAAGAGGGAACAGGTGCGGCGTAGCATGGAACCGTCGGGAATATTCTGGACGCAGGGCGCGGCCGAGGGTGGAGCCAGGCCACGCCGCGAGAGATAAAAGGGAAGCCCCGATCACAGATCCGGGCTGTCTGCAGGTGAAGTGGAACCCAAGTGCTACGTCTTCGTCTCCGACATCGTGGGTCAGGCAGCACGTTGGCTGCTCTGACCCGATTCTAGTTATCCCGTATGCAAGACAAATCGGTGTGTTGTGGTCCTATGCGTAACAAGAGCGAGAATAGGTGTATTTAGTCCCGTGTGTAACGGTGTTGCGTAAAGTGTAGAAATAAACGCTGTTGACTCCTAAATAGTGTCTCTGAATGACTCACTACATTTGTATCTGTATGTACCCCCTGTGTGAGTGTATTTGTATGCACTCGTATGTATGTGTCTATCTGTATATCTGTATGTAGCCCAGTGTGTATGTGTCAGTGTGTATGTGCCTGTATGTACCCCAGTGTGTATGTGTCAGTGTGTATGTGTCTGTATGTACCCAGTGTGTATGTGTCAGTGTGTATGTGTCTGTATGTATGTGTCTGTATGTATGTGTCTGTATGTACCCCAGTGTGTATGTGTCTGTGTGTATGTGTCTGGATGTATGTGTCTGTATGTACCCCAGTGTGTATGTGTCAGTGTGTATGTGTCTGTATGTATGTGTCTGTATGTACCCCAGTGTGTATGTGTCTGTGTGTATGTGTCTGGATGTATGTGTCTGTATGTACACCAGTGTGTATGTGTCTGTGTGTATGTGTCTGTATGTATGTGTCTGTATGTATGTGTCTGTATGTACCCCAGTGTGTATGTGTCTGTGTGTATGTGTCTGTATGTATGTGTCTGTATGTACCACTGTGTGTATGTGTCTGTACGTGTGTAGCTTGCAACAACCCGACACCACACGTTTGGACCACCACAGCAGCCTGCCCAGGCTGAGGCTGGACAGCTGCTGCTGCAGGAATAGCACGCGGCACGCGCAGCCTGCACAAAGACAAAGGTCCCCCGTGTAGCCTCAACAGACTGTTGGGGCAAGTGCCGGTTTAGCGAGCAGCACCTATGAAGGCCGGCATGGCACACGAGGGGGTGGGTGGCCAGCACCACGCCCGGCCGCCTTTGTCTCCCCAGTGGCGATGTTTTTACACACCGCACCAGGTACCCGTTTGAGGTGAAGGAGGCCCGGCATTGCTAAATGCCACTGTTGTTGGCCGTGAGCGGGAGACGAACTCGGCTCACCAGCTTCGCGTGTTCTAGAGGCCAAAGGCGCAGCCCTGCGGCTGCTCGCTCACCTCGCTGCTGGCGGAAAACCTCCTGAAAACCCAAATATTCACGCGGTTGTCGCGCCCGGCCGCCTTTGTATCCCCGATGTTTGAGACTCACCGCACCAAAGGCGCTAGTTTGAGACCGAGTCGACCTAGGCGAGGCCCAGAACTGGTTCAGAATATTCGCCAATGACTTTGGGTCCCGTGAGCCGAAGTAAAAAACTCGCTGGGTGCGCTAACCGCTGCGCCACCGCTCCCGGCCTCACACCCACTCACGAAAATACACACACGCGATCTCACACACACGATCTCACACACACACACGGAGACACACACGGACATACACACACGGACATACACACACGGAGACACACAGCAAGGCGAGACGCGACCTTGCAGACCGCTATTCGTTCACGCGGGACAGGACACAGGGGGAGGAAGGCAGTCAGACACAGACAGACACAAAGACACACAGACACACAGACAGACACAGACAAACACACAGACAGACACAGACAGACACACAGACAGACACAGACAGACACACAGACAGACACAGACAAACACAGAGACACACAGGCAGACACAGACAGACACATATAGAGACAGGCACAGACAGACACACAGACAGACACACAGACAGACCTACCCGCAAGAGACGTGCGTAACACACAGCCACCTCAAACGTCGAGTCAAAGACAGACAGACACACGAAGACACACACGGAGAGACACACACGGAGACACACACACACACACAGAGACACACACACACACAGACACACACAGAGACACACACGGAGACACACACAGAGACACACACACACACAGAGACACACACACACACAGAGACACACACACACAGAGACACACACGGAGACACACACACAGAGACACACACACACACAGACACACACAGAGACACACACACACAGACACACACAGAGACACACACGGAGACACACACACAAAGACACACACGGAGACACACACGGAGACACACACGGAGACACACACAGACACACAACCATGCGTCCCTTTGGCTGAGAGTGCGACGGGAGCCAGGTTTGTGCACCACGGCGAGAAGGAAGAGGGGGGACACGGAGAGACGGGGACGTAGGGGAACAACAACAACAACCAAAACAACAACCACAACAACAAAATAAACATGAGAGAGGGTGTCAGATAGGAGGTTCGCAGGTTGGAGAGAGCGGAGATCAAAGTGAGTGCGAAGTCACAGAGAGTTTGTAGAGCGAGAACGAGGCTGCCGCTGCTGCTGCTGGTGGTGCTGGTCTCAAGAGGAGCTGTGGAACAGATCGCGTGGTTCGGAACGCGATGCCCAGGTCGGCTCGCTGTTCGGATCAACGGGCACCCAACCCCGCCGACACCGAGAGAGACAAAGGTGGCAGTGAGAGCGACGGCCTCGACCGGTGCAGCGACACCGCCAATATCTCCAACAACGCCGCCGCCACCACCTCCACTACCACCACCACCATCATCGCCACGACAACGCCAAATATGACGGCAGTGAAATCGGCCAAGAAGAGGCCACTGGCGATGTCATCATCATCGTCGTCTCTCTCATCATCATCATCATCTCTCTCATCATCATCATCGTCATCCCCCTCTTCCTCCTCCTCCGCCACGGCTGTGGGGAGGAGGAGGCGCCGGGCTCGAGCCCTGCCTGGGGCGAGCCGCCAGCGGCAGGCGGCCAACGCTCGCGAGAGAGACCGCACGCACAGCGTGAACTCCGCCTTCAGCGCACTGCGGACGCTCATCCCGACCGAGCCCGCCGACAGGAAACTCTCCAAGATCGAGACTCTGCGCCTCGCCTCCAGTTACATCTCGCACCTGGGCAACGTGCTTCTCAAGGGGCAAGGCCATGGCGATGGTGGTGGTGGTGGTGGGGAGGACGAGGATGATGGTGATGATGATGGTGATGATGATGGTGATGATGGCGAGAGTGGAGTTGGCTTTTGCTGTCATGGCAGACGCGGCCACGTGCAGCTGTTGAATGGGCACGGAGACCCTGCGCCCAGAGCGATCTGCACCTTCTGCCTGAGCAGCCAACGCAAGATGGTGAGTGTTCCTGCGAGACTTGGGTTCCACCCCGGACCGTGGCGATGCCTGTCGTTGTGCTCTCTCCGTGTCTCTCCCCGTGGTGGTCCCAGCCTGGAACCCTCTCCAGGTTTCTCCGTCCTCCTCCACACTGATAATCGCCGCGCGGTCACGTTGCTTGGCTTCTGCCGCTGTAAATTCCCACGTGCGGTGACGACGACGATTATGACGATATCAGCCACTGCGAGGCTGAGCTATCATCACCACGTGTGCGGCCAGCTCGCTCCTTCTGAGAAAAGAGAAACACCCATTAGCGACCAGCTAAAGCACGAGCTACCAGGTTAAAACAAAACAATATGTGTACCTAGCCTGGCACCAAAGGTTGTGGATGTTGTGGATTGGCCATTGTGTGCCACCGGAATTAATCAATCGGGATTCTACACAGCAGCAGCAGTTATTAACCTGAGGGCATTGGTCTGGCAGCAGACAAATGCCCTGAGGGCACTTTTGCCAAAGCGACTGGTCGCCTCTTGAGTTGTCCCCTGGTTAAACTCAAGCAGCTTGAACCCACTCACCCATTCATTCACCCACTCAGTCATTCACTCACCCACCCACACATTCACTCACTCGTTCACTCACCCACACACTCATCCACCCACCAACCCACACACTCATTCACTCATCCATCCACACACTCATTCACTCACCAACCCACACACTCATTCACTCATCTACCCACACACTCATTCACTCACTCACTCGTTCACTCGCCCACCCACACACTCATTCACTCACTCACTCACCCACACACTCATTCACTCGTTCACTCACCCACCCACACACTCATTCACTCACTCACCCACACACTCATTCACTCACTCACCCACACACTCATTCACTCATCCATCCACACACTCATTCACTCACCAACCCACACACTCATTCACTCATCTACCCACACACTCATTCACTCACTCACTCGTTCACTCGCCCACCCACACACTCATTCACTCACTCACTCACTCACTCACCCACACACTCATTCACTCGTTCACTCACCCACCCACACACTCGTTCACTCACCCACCCACCCACACACTCATTTACACACCCACTCACTCACCAAGCCACACACTCGTTCACTCACCCACCCACATACTCATTCACTCACTCACTCATTCACTCACTCACTCGTTCACTCACCCACCCACACACTCATTCACAGACCCACTCACTCACCCACACACTCATTTACTCACTCACCCACATACTCATTCACTCACTCACCAACCCACACACTCATTCACTCACTCACCCACCCACACACTCATTCACTCATTCACTCACTAACCAAGCCACACACTCATTCACTCACCAACCCACACACTCATTCACAGGCCCACTCACTTACCTACACACTCATTCATTCACTCACTCACCAACCCACACACTCATTCACTCACTCACTCACCCACACACTCATTCACTCACTCACCAAGCCACACACTCATTCACTTACTCACCAAGGCATACACTCATTCACTCACCCACCCACACGCTCATTCACTCACTCGTTCACTCACCCACCCACACACTCATTCACTTACCCTCCCACACGCTCATGCACTCAGCCACTCACTCACTCTTGTAAATGAAACTCTATCCTGGTCTCTTGAGGTCTCGGCTGGTTAAACTCAAGCCACTTGGTGTGTGTGTGTGTTTAGATGAGTGTTTGTGTTTAGTGGGGAGCGGTAGTCTAGCGGTTAGTGCGCTACACTATGATTCCCGCTCAAGGTAACACCAGTGACGATTATTTGAACCGGTCCTGGGCCTCCCCTAGGTCGACTCAGCCTGAAATAAGTACCTGGTGCCGTGTGTAAACATCGCCACTGGGGAGACAAAGGCGGTCGAGCGTGGTGCTGGCCACCCATCACCTCGTGTATCGTTCTGGCCTTCATAGGTGCTCGATAACAGCACTTGCCCCTACAGTATGTTAAGGCTATACGGGGGATCTCTGCCCGTATCTTTGTGTGTTTAGATGTGTATGGGTTTCGATGTGTGTGTTTAGATATGTGTGTGTGGGTTTAACCAGGCTGGATTGTGTGAGGAGCTTACAAATCCTCGAAAGATCTGGACAAAATCCCATCGGTGAGCTCCTCCGGCAGGCAAGGCTGCGTTGGCTGGGCCATGTAGCCCGCATGCCCAGCCACCGCATGCCTAAACAGCTTTTGTTCGGCCGGATCGAGGGGGCTAAACGGGCGCAGCATGGGCTAGAGAAGAGATGGAGTGACGTGGTACAGGAGGACGTGGAGCTGAGTGGACTTGCCGATGACTGGTACCAGCGGTGTCAAGATCGGCCTCTGTGGAGGAGGCTCGTGAAGGACGCTACTGGGCAGTTGGAGGCAGTCGCCCTCCAACAACAACAGAGGGCGGAGGAGCGACGCTCACAACAACGAGCGGAGCGCCGGGTGACTAAAGCACAGCAAGTTAGCACAGTAGGGGGCACAGGTGGTGCATCAGCCAGTCGTCTCAGTCAGTCGACCCGTGGTACCTGCTGGGTCTGCCCCGTGACCTCCTGCCAGCGGGCGTTCGACACTTCACGTGGCCTCAAGGTGCACCTAGCCTGGCACAAGCGTCGTGGTGACGTCACCCTCTCTTAGTGGTGAATGGCAGTTGTTGTGTGTGTGTTTAGGTGTGTGTGTGTTTAGATGTGTATGTATGTGTTTAGATGTGTGTGTGTTTATATGTGTGTGTATGTTTAGATGTGTGTGTGTTTAGATGTGTGTGTGTAGGTAAAGGTGTTTCTACACAACATGGCTAGTGTGTGTGTCTTTGTCCTAGGTGCTAGCTAACAGGACATGTCCCAAACAGCCCGTGAAGGCTGTACGGGCGATCTTTGTCTTTGTTTGTGTCAGTGTGTTTGGGAAGTTGTGTTGCAGCGGTTAAGTGCGCAGCGAAACGAACCTGGCGACCCGAGTTCGATTCCCGCTCACGGCCAACACCGGTGACGATTATCTGAATCGGTCCTGGGCCTCCCCTGGGTCGACTCAGCCTCAAGTGAGTACCTGGTGCGGTGTGTAAAACATCGCCACTGGGGAGACAAAGGCGGCCGGTGCGTGGTGCTGGCCACCCACCCCTCGTGTGCCGTGCCGGCCTTCATAGGTGCTGCTCGCAGTTTCGCTGCTCCTCCTCCTCCGTTGAAGGAACGCAGACTACAGTGGGTTCTATGTGTCTCTATAGGGCTCAGTGTATCTCTATGAGTCTCTGTGCATCTCTATGAGTCTCTGTGCATCTCACTGGGTCTCTGTGGGTTCACTGTGCGGTCCATATCTTTGGTTGCCTGGACACAGTCGCACCACTGTGACTGTGTCTTTAATGGATCTTAATGGGTCTCAATGTGTCTCTATGGGTCTCTATGTATATCTATGGGTCTCTATGTATCTCTATGAGTCTCTATGTATCTCTATGGGTCTCTATGTATCTCTATGAGTCTCTATGTATCTCTATGGGTTTCTATGTATCTCTATGGGTCTCTATGTATCTCTGTGTATCTCCATGGGTTTACTATAAGGTCCCACAGTTTGCGATGCATGGCCATGGTGCAGCATTGGCCTGGTGACCGTGATGTCCTGACGGTATTGCCGGAGATGGTTCTGATGGTGCAGTTGATGATGGATCTGATGGTGCAGTTGATGATGGATCTGATGGTGCAGTTGATGATGGATCTGATGGTGCAGTTGATAATGGATCTGATGGTGCAGTTGATGATGGTTCTGATGGTGCAGTTGATGATGGATCTGATGGTGAGGTTGATGATGGATCTGATGGTGAGTTTGATGATGGATCTGATGGTGCAGTTGATGATGGATCTGATGGTGCAGTTGATGATGGTGCAGTTGATGATGGATCTGATGGTGAGTTTGATGATGGATCTGAGGGTGCAGTTGATGATGGATCTGATGGTGCAGTTGATGATGGTTCTGATGGTGAGGTTGATGATGGTGCTGATGGTGCAGTTGATGATGGATCTGATGATGAGGTTGATGATGGATCTGATGGTGCAGTTGATGATGGTTCTGATGGTGCAGTTGATGATGGATCTGATGGTGCAGTTGATGATGGATATGTTGGTGCAGTTGATGATGGATCTGATGGTGCAGTTGATGATGGATCTGATGGTGCAGTTGATGATGGATCTGATAATGCAGTTGATGATGGATCTGTTGGTGCGGTTGATGATTGATCTGATGGTGCAGTTGATGATGGATCTGATAGTGCAGTTGATGATGGATCTGATGGTGCAGTTGATGATGGATTTGATGGTGCAGTTGATGATGGATCTGTTGGTGCAGTTGATGATGGATCTGATGGTGCAGTTGATGATGGATCTGATGGTGCAGTTGATGATGGATCTGTTGGTGCAGTTGATGATGGATCTGATGGTGCAGTTGATGATGGATCTGATGGTGCAGTTGATGATGGATCTGATAGTGCAGTTGATGATGGTTCTGATGGTGCAGTTGATGATGGATCTGATGGTGCAGTTGATGATGGTTCTGATGGTGCAGTTGATGATGGATCTGATGGTGCAGTTGATGATGGATTTGATGGTGCAGTTGATGATGGATCTGATGGTGAGGTTGATGATGGATCTGATGGTGAGGTTGATGATGGTGCTGATGGTGCAATTGATGATGGTTCTGATGGTGCAGTTGATGATGGTTTTGATGGTGCAGTTGATGATGGTTCTGATGGTGCAGTTTATGATGGATCTGATGGTGCAGTTGATGATGGATCTGATGGTGCAGTTGATGATGGATCTGATGGTGCAGTTGATGATGGATCTGATGGTGCAGTTGATGATGGATCTGATGTTGCAGTTGATGATGGTTCTGATGGTGCAGTTGATGATGGATCTGATGGTGAGGTTAATGATGGATCTGATGGTGCAGTTGATGATGGATCTGATGGTGAGGTTGATGATGGATCTGATGGTGCAGTTGATGATGGATCTGATGGTG